TTATAGTCTTTCAAACAAGGAAAAAACAAGTGAAATATTTAATAGAAATAATGATAAACAAGGCTTTTAATGGTATTTTCCAGAGAGGTCATGGACTTGGATAATGTAAAACTACATATATGGAAACAGCACTTATGCCCAACACAAGATTATTTTACCACTGTATAACTGATGTACTGTTCCTCAGACATCTCTTGATTTATTGAAGCTTAAACATAATAATGGAAAACAGAGACAGGTTTTACAAGAAAGAATGAACCTAAACTGACAGGTTCTTTATATGATTTTTTTATGAGGTACCTTTTATGATGATTTCATTAGCATGGCAGATAGCTTATAACAAAATAATCAAGAGCAAAAAGGTAATGACCTTCCTGATGTAGGGACTCACATGTAGAAACGACAAAATAAGACAGCATGGTCACTTACTTAGCTTCCCTCGCTCCAGTAAAGAACCATTACCAAGGTACAGCACAGCTACCAAAGGTGCAAGTTGTATCAGCAATCATTATGTGCAAAATGGTTCCTTTTCAACTTAATTGATTACATATATTTATGTGTCTGTGTAATTTTACATTTTATTTCCTTCCTATAACATAAATTCTTGTTTCAGGAAATTAAAATGCATCCGTCTGTTACTTATACAGCTACTAGATACAAACTGTTACATTAATTTTCATCTGATTTGAAATAAAAGTTGATAAATATCAAAATAAAATTTCACTTACCTCAAAATGAACCCATCTAAAAGCAGAAAGATTGACTTTGCAGAAGTCTTCAACAGTAAGTTCAGGCAGGTTCTTATTTGAGTGAATTATAGTTCTAGATCCAGTTTCCATGCTTAGAATGACACATGATGCCGGGCAGTCACAGTCCTCATGCACCACAACACACTTTGTGTCCACATTGTACTTTGCAAAATCATCTAGAAGGAACCTGCAAGAACAGAATGCTTAACAGAATCAGATTGAAAATAAGAAGAGATACTGATAATTCAGCTATTTAAAGGGGAACGAACACCTGGGGTCTTCTAACCAAAATATTTTGAGTATTGTGTTGAACCTTTATGGGTAAATAGGTATCTAGGTTTATTACATTACTGAGAGCCAGAATGATGTATATGTATATATATATACAAATGCATTATATATATATATATATACATAAAAAAAATATATATATAAATAAATAAATAAATAAATATATCTATCTATCTATCTCTATCTATCTATCTATCTATCTATCTATCTATCTATCTATCTATCTATCTATCTATCTATCTATCTATCTATCTATCTATCTATTTATCTATCTATCTATCTATCTATTTATTTGTGTGTGCTGCAACACATTAAATCACACAATACCATTAATATCATACCAATAATTTTTACTTTGGAATTGTGAATAGTCATTTAAAATCCTTACTGACCTATGAAAAGTATTTTGTAAATATATATATATATATATATATATATATATATATATATATATAATCTATATATATCTATATATATATATGTATATATATATATATATATATATATATATATATATATATATATATTATATATATATATATATATATATATATATATATATATATATATATATATATATATATATATATATATATATATATATATATATATATATATATATATATATATATATATATATTATATATATATATATATATATATTATATATATATATATATATATATATATATTTATATATATGTATATATATATATATGTATATGTATATGTATATGTATATGTAATATATATATATATATATATATATATATATATATATATATATATATATTATAATATATATATATATATATATATATATATATATTATATATATATATATATTATATATATATATATATATATATATATATATATATATATATATATATATATATATATATACATATACACATATATTTATATATATGTATAATATATATATATATATATATATATAATATATATATATATATATATATATATATATATATATATCTTAGAATCAAAGACTGGTTTTACTGAATATAGAGATTATCAACTGACATAAAGCTGAGGCTACATACGTTTTTTCATGAGATCCAGCAATGGTCCCCAGAAAAGATGGCTTTGCTCCAAGCAATCCTAAAACGGTACAATTGTTAGCTGCATTTCCTCCCCGCTGCCATCGCTGGTCATGACACCTGAAAATAAAAAAAAAAAAAAAAAAGAGAAAAAAAAAGAGAAAAAAAAATTTATCATTAAAATTGATTTCCCTCTTGTATCACTTCATGTGATGGTTTACATAACATGCACTTTGATGAATGACACAGAGGATATCTGTTCTATTTGAACTACATAAAATGATTAGCTTTTAAAATATCAGAAACAGAGCTAGTGACATCTGAGAATAAAAAGGGTACACTGCCAATATGCTTCACAATCATTTGGATATTTAGCATCTATCAGGGATAAGAAAC